GGGCGGGGGAGATGAGTGAGTCTAAGAAGTGTGTATGCATCGGGCTAACTACAAGGTCAGCAGTTCAAAACCACCAGCTGCTCCACAGGAGAAGGATGGGGCTTTCTACTCCCATTAATAGTTTACAGCCCTAGAAATGCACAAGGGCAGTTCTACCCTGTCTTATGGGGCCCCTAGGAGTCAACTTCCACTCGATGGCTGTTGAGTCTGGGTATTATGTGATGAGTACTAGATAACTAAGTCTGGATTTGATTCTAGAGGCCACCCCCTCAACTTCCACCGGACCCAGATGATCCTATTAGGAAGCCAACTTCCGAGGAGGCATCTGGAGCACAGATAATGTTTATGGTTTTACCTGGATGGGTGGTTACACGCCTGCTTGCTGCAGTTATAAGCTACAACTGTCATGATTTGTATCTTTGTCTAGGTTAGATTTCACAGTTTCGAAATAAAGGAACAGAAAAGACACTGATGAAGAATGCACTCTCTTAGCAAAAGGGGGGTGGGATGGGTGGGTGAACAGATGCCGTCTTAAGCCTGTCGGAGGTGGGGGCAGGTGCTTCCTCCAGGAAGGGGCGCTCTGAGTCAGTCCTCTCCCTTGCTGTGAAGGCATCTTCCAGTCAGCCAGTGCAGAGTGTAACCGGGCCCTGGAGGGGAACCCATTGCCAGAATCACATGACATCGAGGGACCCACAAGCCCAAGACTGACAGCTTTAAACGCCGCATCATTACAACCTAGCAGCCCGAGTAGTGGCCAAACCCAGAGACCCCACCACAGTCAGCAGTACGGGCTTTATCTGACCGGGTCAAATGGGAAAGAGGTGGCTTCATGAAGCGTAGAAAGAGAAGCAGGTGTTCTTGAATAAAGGCTGTGATCCAGGACCTGTTAGAGAACTCTGACTGTTGGATCGACTTGGTATCCAGATAGCTATGTTCATAGTAAACACACACACACACAATTATTTTTAATCACTTCATGCAAATACGCATTTTTCAAATGTTAAATCCTTAGCTCCTATACTTCCAGATCTAATTTAGAATGCACACTTCTGAATTGAAAAGAACATGGGTCAAATTCAACACCCCTCCCGGAGTTCACACTTCTAATTCGAGAGTCACAGAGCCAGCTGACCCTCTAAGATGTATTTCCTCACGAGGGGAGGGGAGGGCAGGGCTGGAGAACAGTCTGCTATCGACAACAGATGCTCTGTGAGCTAGCTCGAGCAAGGACCCACGGAGGCAGTAACTCAATCGCCTGTTAAACACACTGTGAGAAATCATGTTTCTCTCTCCCCCAAACTGGGCTTCTTTAGGTGACAGAATCTTAAAAATAACTTATGCCATTGTTTCAACCTTTAATGTATGCACAACTGCCAGATGAGATTGTAAAAGAAATAAAATCTAAACGTCTCATTGAGATTGAACAGGATTCCCCTGGTTCTTCAATTTAACCAGAGTAGAACCCCCCGACTGTCTCCAAAGAGCAGTTGGTGATTTCAAACTGCTGACTCCTGTAAGAAGATGAGTGAATTGGTTACTCCACCAGGGTCCATTTTCACGAATTCACATTTTAGCACTAATTTTGTTTGAGATATCAAAATTTGGTTTTGTTTTAAAATGTGGTGGTCTATACATACTACTTGCCATTAGAGTACAAGCACCATGGAAGATGCCATCTTGCTGTTGTGAAGGGCTGCCAAGTCCCTTCTGTCTCACAGTGACCCTATGTGCCACAGAACAAACCACTGCCCACGTCTGAGCCCACTGCTGCCGCTGCTGCGACCCTCCGTCTCATCAAAGGGCTTATTCGCTGCCCCTCTACTTTAACAAGCGTAACGTGCTCCAGGCACTGGTCTCTCCTGACAATAGAGCACACGAGAGAAAGTCTGGCCTCCTCGCTTCTAAGGAGCATTCTGGCGGTGCTAATTCCAAGATAGATTTGTTTGTTCTTCTGGCAGCCCATGGTGCTTCCAATGTTCTTTCCCAGCACCAGAATGCAGACAAAGCGTAGGGCGTTTCCTTAAAAAGCTGGAACTGGTAAACAAGCGGCCATCTAGCTCAGAAGCAACAAAGCCCACATGGAACAACATATCAACCTGTGTGATCATGGGGTGTTGAACGGATCACTGAAGACAAATGGGTGCATAAGCAAATGTGGTGAAGAAAGCTTATGGTGCCCGGCTATCAAAAATTATAGCGTCTGGGGTCTTAAAGGCTTGAAGGTAATCAAGCGGCCATCAAGCTCCGAAGCAACAAAGCCCACATGGAAGAAGCACCCCAGCCTATGCAACCATGAGGTGTCGAAGGGATCAGGTGTAAGGCATCATCAGAACAAAACATCTTACCATAGTGAATGATGGGGGGAGTGCTGAGTGGAGATCCAAAGCCCATTAGTAGGCCACTGGAGATCCCCTTGCAGAGGGGTCTCGGGGAGGAGATGAGCCAGTCAGGGTGCAATGTAACAATGATGAGAAATACAACTTTCCTCTAGTTCCTAAATGTTTCTTCCCGGCTCCCACTATCATGACTCGAATTCTATCTTGCAAGACTGGCTAGACCAGAGGAGGTACACTGGTACAGATAGGAACTGAAAATACAGGGATTCCAGGACAGATGAGCCCTATAGGACCAGTGGTGTGAGTGGCAAAACAGGGAGGGTAGAGGGAGAATGGGTAGGAAAGAGGGAACCGATTACATGGAACTGTGTGTGACCTCCTCCCTGGGGGACAGACAACCGAAAAGTGGGTGAAGGGAGACGTCGGACAGGGCAAGATATGACAAAATACCCATTTATAAACTATCAAGGGCTCATGCGGGAGGGGGGAGCGGGGAGGGAGGGGAAAAATGAGGACCTAATGTCGGGGGTTTAAATGGAGAGAAAATGTTTTGAGAAACGATGTACAAATGCGCTTTACACAATTGATGTGTGTATGGATTGGGATAACAGTTGTATGAGCCCCTAATAAAATGTTAAAAAAGAAAAAAATAAATAAATAAATAGGTGTTGATATATATATATAAAAAGCTGGAACTAGCAGTCCCGTATGCTCCCGCAGTCCCAGTACTTGGTATGTACCCTGGAGAAATAAGCACCTCGACACAAAGAGATATGTGCACACTCGTGTCCACTGCAGTGCCTTTGTCAATAGCAGAATGCCTACATGGCCCCACGGAAGGAAGAGCAGATGAACACATGATGACACAGACACACAGTGGAAGACTAAGCAGTGTTCACGAATCATGGCGGGCCTGTGAAACACCTGGAGGACACCATACTGCCTAAAGCAATGCCATTACAAGGGGACAAACAGTCTATGAGACCACCATTATCAAAAGTCACAAAAAACTCTTCACCCTAACAGGATCATTCCTTGATGGTTCCGGGGGACGGGAGGAAAGATAAATCACTACCTAGAAAGACACATATTAACTTGGGTGAAAGGGCAGGCAAAAAAAAGAAAAGGTTTTTGTTACATAAATAACTTGCTATTTTGAACATTTTTAAGGTACAATTCAGTGGCAGCCATTAGAGCCACAATGAGGTGCACCCATCACTCTCATGTATCTCCACAATGTTATCACCCAGATAGAACGCTCTATCCATTGAGCACACACACACTGGCCTCTTCTGAGCGCCCTAGACCAGGAAACTGCATATCTCACTTTCTGTCTCTGTGCGTTTCCATCTCTTGAGCTTTCATATAAGTCGAATCATGTAAAATGAGTCCTTTCCTGCCTGACGTATTTCATTTAGCATGTGCTCAAGGTTGATCTCTATGGCACCATCTTTCCAAACCTCATCCTCTTGGAACGGCTGCACATTATTCCATTTGGAGGCAAGCACATGTGCGCTCTGCTTATCCGTTCAACCATTAATCTGTTGATGAATATTTGCATCATTTCTGTTTTCCCGCTATTTTAAATAGAGCTGCAATGAACACTGCAGTTCCCGCTGTCCCATTCTTTGGAGTATATATACACCGCAGAGCGGTGTTATTCTACGCTGCACTCTTTAAGGAGCCACCAAAATATCTTCCACTGACAGAGCACTGTTTGATATTCCCACCAGCAATACAACAGACAAGTCACCAGCCCTTGTTGTTTCCTGGTGGTGATGATGATGATGATGACCATTTTCGTAGGTGTGAAGTGGTGGCATCTGACTGTAGTTTTGATTTGCATTTCTCTCCTGACTAATGAGGTTGTGCTGTGCTCACTGGTTGTCCAGAGATCTTTGGAGAGATGGTTACTCAAGCCCTTTCCCGTATTTTTAGTTAACTTGTCTTTTTGCAGATGGATTGTGTATACAGTATGTACCATTACTAGTAGTAAATCACTATACTGAAATATCAAGGAACAAAACAAATCAAAACAGAGCATGGCCACAAAAATTGGATCAAATATTCCAGCGAGTATCCAACAACAAAGACATATGCTGCCTGCTAGCTTTGGGTCGGAGTGGAGGGAAGTGGAACTTGGGAGGTGGCCTGTTCCAGCAGTCCAGAGTGTTCCCACACCTGGGATGGCCAGAGGTGGGTGGGATGGGGATTTCCAATGCTTTTCTTTCCCAGCTAAGCTTCTCCCCAGGTGCCCACTAAGACCCCATCACTGCCTCCACCATATTATTCAATCTGCCAGGCAGCATGCTCAGGTCTTTAAAGTTAGGGTCTCAGGAACTTTAACCAATTCGTTGAAAAACACCAGGCATTATTACAGAATCGATGCTCAAATACATATTAAATTGCATCTCTATTAATCTGTCCTATGTACCAACAACAAGTCAGATCTTTCAAAAATTCCCCGATAAATCCATGCCTTCTGCAGTCACTCGGACCCTAAGCAATCTCTGCATAACTTTCAACCAATAAATGCTTCCAATATTTAGTTTTTAACAGATTAGTCCTGGCTGTGATCGGTCATCGCCCTGACTATGGTCTTTAAGAGCAGTCTAGCTTTTCCCTGGTGTGATTCCATCCTGCGCTGCTGTGTGTAGTGATGGCTGTGGTTTACCTCCGTTTTCCGTTTCTCTCACCGAAGTGCGTGTCACCACCCCATGGAAGATTCGATGGATATGGACATGAGCCCCCTGAGGCCCCAAAACTACCTTTTCGGTTGTGAACTAAAGGCTGACAAAGATTACCACTTTAAGGTGGATAATGATGAAAATGAGCACCAGTTATCTTTAAGAACGGTCAGTTTAGGTGCTGGTGCAAAGGATGAACTGCATATTGTTGAAGCGGAAGCAATGAATTATGAAGGCAGCCCAATTAAAGTAACACTGGCAACTTTGAAAATGTCTGTACAGCCAACGGTCTCCCTTGGGGGCTTTGAAATAACACCACCAGTAGTCTTACAGTGAAGTGTGGCTCAGGGCCTGTGCATATTAGTGGACAGCATTTAGTAGCTGTGGAAGAAGATGCAGAGTCAGATGATGAAGAGGAGGAGGATGTGAAACTTTTAAGTGTATCAGGAAAGCGGTCTGCCCCCACAAGTGGTAACAAGGTTCCACAGAAAAAGGTAAAACTTGCTGCTGATGATGAGGAAGATGATGATGAGGACGATGACGACGATGATGAAGATGATGATGATGATGATTTTGATGATGATGAAACTGAAGAAAAAGCTCCAGTGAAGAAATCTATACGGGATACACCAGTCAAAAATGCACAAAAATCAAACCAGAATGGAAAAGATTCAAAACCATCAACACCAAGATCCAAAGGTCAAGAATCCTTCAAAAAACAGGAAAAAACTCCCAAAACACCGAAAGGCCCTAGTTCTGTAGACGACATTAAAGCAAAAATGCAAGCAAGTCTAGAAAAGGGTGGTTCTCTTCCTAAAGTGGAAGCCACATTCATCAATGACGTGAAGAACGGCTTCCGGATGACCGACCAGGAGGCTGTTCAAGATCTCTGGCAGTGGAGGAAGTCTCTTTAAGAAAATAGTTTGAACAGTTTGTTAAAATTTTCCGTCTTATTTCATTTCTGTAACAGTTGCTATCTGGCCGTCCTTTTTTTATAATGCAGAGTGAGAACTTTCCAAAAAAAAAAGAGCAGTCTAGGCTTCTGGAAAAACCCAAGACCAATTCACCCAAGGAGCCAAGTGGTCTAAAATGAAAGAGCGACACCCTTTCCTGAAAACGGGGGCTAAGCTCACAGGAGGAGGAACAAATTAGATTACTCACTGGGAGGAAATAGCTACCTTTAAAAAAGTGTGTAAGCAAAATGTTGACGTCAGATTAATTAGGACTGATCACCTAAATAACATTAAACTTTAATGGTGTCAAATATTTAGGGACTGAGACTTAAAAAAAAAAAAAAGCAACCCACCAACTCCACTGGTCATGAGACAGTAAATGTGCTGCATTCCTGCTGTGCGTCTCTCGGTTGCTAAGACGATCCAGGAGAGGGGTGCATGAGGGTTTTGAACATGTGAGAAAAAGTCACTAAATGAACAAAAGAACTTGGAAGTGCTTTCTCATTTTATCTTTCCCAAATCCGTTCTTAAGCAGTTATTTGTCCAAAAAAAAATCTCTTTTATTCTTAACAATGTAGACTTTGAAGATTTAGCCCTTAGGAATTTTCCAAAATTATTATTTAAAAAATATTAAGCCCTTTAATGGACCAGGTTAAGGGCTTTGACTTGTCCATCTAAAAATCAGATTAGGGAGTAAAACCATAGGTGATTTTTTTCATAGGGAGCTACAGAATAGTCAAAAGGAGAATAAAAATAGAAAATGCTGTATTAAGATCTTCACTTTTCCAAGACACAGAGGAGAGACGCTCCGAGTTCCTGTCTGAAAATACACGGAAACTGGGTGAGGAAGCTGAAACCTGGGGAGAAAATTCAAACAGCGATGGCTGGGCCTGAATATTCACACGGAGACCATCCACACAAAAGCATTCTCGCAGGCCAGGCCCCGCAGCACTCTGTTGTTCAGAGCTGGCAGAGCAACACTAATGATGGCACTGCCTGGGGCCTGTCCTGGGAAGACTGCCATTTCGTCTGCTTATTAACTAGGGGGGGCAGGAAGGAAGGCTGCGAGCAGCTCCTAGTTGGAATTTGCTAAAGATGAACAGCTAGAAGCTGAAGAGGCTCCAGAAGCCACTTTGGTGGCAATTAGGGACATGAAGGGAGCAACATCATAAAGGCAATGAAGCTCAAAGGACAGCTCCAGGGCCTTTCAAAAGATGCAGACGGGGCCATTCTTTCCGTTGAAGCTGGTAGCAGCACACGGGTGATTCCAGGCCAAATGAAATACAATGAACCTACGAAAGGTCTCATTTCCAGGGTGCAATGTCAAAACAGAATTATAGCCACAGAAGGACGAATATTGTATAATCTCATTTATAAACAAAGGCAAGAGCAGGCAAATGTACATAGACCTAAGTTTCTTAGTGGTTCCCAGGAATGGGAAGGAGGTGGTAGGGGGTGGTAACAGAAATGGAAAAATTAAACTGATGATGGATAGGGGTGCAGAGCTGATTACTGTACCTGGGAAATGCTAAGCTAGCAAAACGTGTATGGTATATTTACAACAATGACAAGACAAAGTACCTGCTAGGGCTGCCACAACCCAGACCTCAGGGGACCTGGGTCCTTGGTTTGCAGGTTTAGGCTCATGGTTTCATGGGACATCCGAGTTAATTGACCCAATAATGTGTTGTATTCAGCGCTTCCTTCTACCAGGGCCCCAGGTCTTAAAAACTGGTAGAGGGCCTGATAATTGGTCTCTATTTGCCCAGCGCAGCAGATGAAGAAGGACATCAGGAGTAGGAGGAGGGCATAGACTGTAGGGCTGCCTGCCTCTATGAACAACTACAACAATTGCAGCAGCAAGTAGTGGGTAGACAGTGATGACAGTCCTTGACCTTCTCACTGCAGCATAAAAAATACTAGCAGTGAATGTTATTCACTGGCCCCTCCCTTTAAGAAATCTGACACTGAGCCTCAGCTCTGTGGGGAGGGTCTTGAAGTCCACCAACAAAGTTCTACCTGATCCGTTCCATCGGTCTCTTCCATTCCCTTCCTCTCTGATATAAGCTTTCTCAACAAAGAGAATTTCCTCATAGGTTCCCAAACTTATTTCCAGGGGGAAAAAATCAATGACTTAGCACCCTCTTGGCAATTCAAAATGTTTGTACTCTATCTAGCCTACGATCTAGGATCAGGTGTAGGTATCTACTTTTGCACACACATATACGCACATTATTCCAGTGTTCCTCAGGGGGGTGGTATTTCCCACTTTGGGAAACAGGGGTATCTGAAAAGAGAAAGCCATTCTCAGGATAATTTGCCTTAAGCCCACTGATCCCATGGGCCTCTCCATCTGGTCCACACTGAATTGGAATGGCATGGTGGAGTAGCGGATTATGCACTGGGCGTGGGAGTTAGAGTTTAAACCAACTTGATGCACCTGTGTGAAGGTGGGGGTGCAGCCCAGCGTGTCATGTGGTGATGCCTTCTTGTGGGGTGCAGTCTTTTTATAAGGGAGAAACAGAACTTCTCCCTCTCTTTACCCTTTCACCCTTGTGCTGGCTAGGCTCTTGCCTGTCTCCGGGGATGGCCCATGTGGGCCGCCTAACCCTGGGGCTGTCAGCTCCTCGCTATGTTCCCTGACCTTGGATCCATGACTCTGCACCCACCGGCCTGCGAGTCCCTGCTTCCCTCTTAACCCTTCTTCGTCATTGGCCTGCAGCTATGTGAGTCTAAGAACAGGCCCAGTGAGCATACAACTTATGAGTTTGAGTTGCGCGGGGTGGGATGCCTTTTTAATATGACTCCTGGTTATAAATCTCTTTCCTATACATATGTGAGTATCACTGCTTCTGCATCTCTAGACAACCCAGCCTAACGCAGCTGTTAACTGCAAGGTCAGCAGTACAAACCCACCAGCTGCTCTGAGGGAGACAGATGAGGCTCTGTGCTCCTCTAAAGATGTACAATCTTGGAAACCCACAGGGGCCGTTAGTTCTGCCCTGCCCGATAGGGCTGGTCTGAGTCAAAAAGGATGGCAGTGAGTTTTGATATCTGCGTATCTGATATCTGACCTGGCTGATAGCTCATGGCTACAGTTCCATTTCCAACAGGGAACACTCGCTTTTGGAAGCCACGTCATACTTCAAGCAGCTGTCCGTCCGTACAATTGGAAAGCCCTATTCCTCCCATAAAAACAGCACAGTTCTTCCCATCTAAGAAAACGAGAATACCTCCTGGTTTCGGTCCTGGCTCTTGAGTGCCTTCAGCAGAGGTCGTTACCGTCTGGCCAACTTTTCCTGCCTTGGTCAATATGAACTTCTAGACTCCTCTTTTCTCAAATGATCTTCCTAGTTTGTGGCTCTGACATCTATCTTTAGGGCACAGCCATTCCCCAGGGCCCTGACACCAGGCATGGGCTGGTGGGTTTGGATTTGCCTTCACTCCAGGCTTCAGCAATCAGGACAGCAGTGGACAGCACTCCACTGCTCCGCAGCACCATCTCCACTGTCACACCTGTGACTTTTGGGCTACTACCACTGAGAATTCTGATAAAAGAGTCTGGAGAAGTATCCGGATTGAAAAGGAGGAAATGCGGAAGTTCAATGTCAAATTCTCGTGGATACCAGGCTTTCTGAAGCCCAGGAGGCCAGATGAACACCTGACATCACTGCCATGACATATTCTTTAAAACTAAGAAAACAAACAAATGAACTAAGGATCCCTTATTCTGACAGCTAGATAAGTGTGTGGCTTAACTCGTGAGAAATGTCTCTGGTAAGCATTAAGCGCTCTTAGTAGCTACTCTCTTGTCTCATCAACCTGACAAGCACAACTCAAAAGGT